AGCTCGCTATGAAGTTGAAGAAGTACAAAAAATATAAGATTCGTAGTTGATTGTTATTTTAGAAATTGATTTCTCACTATTTTCTTAAATCTTCATTATTTGTGTATTATTCCTATTAACATGTTTAATTATTGATTAAATTTGTTTTTGGTCGGAGGAATCATTCGAATAAAGCTAAAAAATGGGAGTTCTAGACTTATTCTAGGCACCGGTTGTTCTGCCAGTTACCATTCGGAAATGAAATGACTTGAACTTATGTTTTATATGTGCTCCAATGTGCTTATATGTGATGCTATGTGAAACTTATATGTTTGATTTTGTTAGGAGTTTGAGTATATGGGATACTATTAATTATAGGTAACTTTTCTTTTTATCACTCGATGATGAATGTATTAAATGAGAGTGATCTTCACACCCTAAGTCAACCCAATAATTGTTTCATAAGATCAAATTCTATTTGATGATGACTTTAAAGTCTGAAGGTGGACATGTAGATTGATGACAATAATTTGAGAGCTATATGAATAAATGTCCATATATTACACTATGTCAAAAAAAGGTTTACAAGTATTTAAAACCTTTTAAAAATAGATTTTACATACTTGTATTCCATAGTTACAAAATACTCCTATTTAGCAGTTTAATCTACACATAAAAACATCAATTTTTCGTGAGAAAACATAAATCCTAAGACATCTTCTCTACGAGTATGATGAGCTGCTCAATGCCTGCGGCTTTATTACTCTCGAAGAGTTGTTTCAATGTGAACTTGACCAATTCTTGGTCTACTTCCAAATTGGTCGGAAGTAAACCATTTTTTGAAAGCGATGTTTTGCCCACATGTGGTATCTTTTAGTCATTGCCATGTTGACACTTGAGAATCTCCATTAAACAACTTTGTAATGCCATGAAAATATTGTTAAGAGTTGTGTCTGATAGCTCTTTAAAAGAATTGACAACAACTTTTAGTAATTCTTCCACATTGTAGCTTACTTTTGATACTTGTAAAGACTGCAATGATCTAAACCACCCTAAATCATTTTTATTTGTATTCGGGCTATTAGGCGGTTGAAATACCAAATGGATATCAAATCCATCACTACTTGCCATTTCCAAAATTCCGAATCATTATCCTTAATGTAAGGCTTCGCATTATCTTGTTGTCTATAGATTGTCTTAGAAGCATCATTAGGCCGTCTTTTCTTTATTGTTGAAATCACCTACAAGTACAACTCAGTGATGATTAATAAATATTGGGTTATTACTGAGAGTTGTGCATAATTTAGCCAAAAAAGAATAAATATGGTGTTTACCTCATCTATCAATATTTGCTTGGTGACTCCTTTTGTAATTGAGTACAATGGTTTAATCTCCATTATCCTGATAGCCACATTCTTAAAATTACGCTACGCAAGTTCTTTTTTTGTGAATGGAAAATTTTGTTGGAATATATGGGTATTGCGATAATAAATTCTACCATGAAACCGAGTCGAGGATGGATCCTCTTTCAAAAAATTAGATACGCCCCGGTAGTATCTCCGGTTGTTGGCATTCTAACCTAAAGATAAAACTCTTTCCGTCTCCAATGAGAGTGGCACCTCTAATCGTTGGAGCTCTGGCGAACAAAGCGAGAGAGGAACTGAATTGGGGAGGTGTCCGGAAAGCTAGAAGAGAAGAGAGAGAGAGGAGAGAGTTGTTGGTGTTGGTGTTTAGAATGAAGGGGGAGGCTCTTTATATAGGTGTCTCCACTTGGCCAAAATGGCAGATGATCAATTACGATCAGAATTATGACCTTAATTATCGATGTAATTTATTCTAAATTCAAACCTACCGTTTGAAGCATTCGTAATTGATTCTAATTACAAACTTTCCGTTTGTGACGATCGTAATTTATTCTAATTTCAAACCTTCCGTTTGAAACGAATGTAATTTATTCTAATTTCAAACCTTTCATTTGAGATTATAATAAATCTATCCAACGGATAATATTTTTTCCAAATAATACTGCGACTTAGGCCGTATACCCTGGTTTAATTTGGGATTGCAGAATTTGGTTTGTCTCGAGACAGACAAAATAGCCAGAATATAAACAAAACCCCATATACAATAAATAAATAATATTTATTTATTTCTTCCAAATTAATCTAATTAATTTGGTACACCTGCCCATCGTGTTTTCACTCACAAAATAATCGACTGCAAAATAACTGATTATCCAACAAATTTTCAATATTTCCATCAAATACATACTCACCATTGGAGCCGTATATGGGTCTTGATATGGCACAAAGGAACATTACATTGGTAATAAACCTTTTGCTTTGACAAGTTCTATACGGTTCAACCTCATCAAATGCTAGATAGTACCTATCATTCTTTTTAGATAAGTTAATCCATTTCTCATCAATGTGCACGGTGTTGAAAATGATTTTGTACCTTATGATGTTAGATTCCAATGCAACCTCCAATGGTTAAGCTTGGTTGGATTACATTCGTGTGTGCTCTGAATAATTTATTTTTGTATCATCTCTCAACACTACTTTTGCTTACTTTTAACTTTTTGGCAATGCACCTGTACGTACCTCTTTTGCTGCAATAGATTTCTTTCAAACTATTGACATCAAATAAAGCTGATTTTGGCCTTCATTTGCCGACTTTTTGGTTTGTCAAAAGCATTTTGTTACTTGCCTTATGTTTCTCGTTTGCCCTTTTTTAAATGCGGCTGATTGTTAGATGTTCCTATAAAATCGGAACATATTGCGGATTTTTGTTATGACCTGCTTGGTACATTTGCTATGTTGTTTGTTGTGTTGTGCATATCTACGCTAAATGCTATTTATACTCATGTTGCTACCTGCCGTGACCTCTTTTGCATTGCTGCCTGTCGTGACGGCTTCTGCATGAATGTAATTTATTTTGATATTTTTGTTAATAATATATATATATATATATATATTTAGCTGATTTTGGAGGATTAATTTTAATTTTATTTTTTAGTATTTACACTTTCTTTATTTTGTTTGTACAAATCAAGTTGTAATTATCACTTGAATCTATTTTTTCAACTCTTTCATAAAGTAAAGGCATTTTAGTCATTTGTATTCTACTTTATACCAACTTTTTAATTAAATACTATTATTCTTTAATTATCGTGTCAACTCTTACTATGACACATCTTTGGGACGGAGGGGGTATAAATTTACATCTCATTATTTACTGATTCTCCCACCCAAAATATTACATCAAACATCCAACAATTTTTTTGATACGTTTTATGATTAATATTATTAAAAAAATACAATATATGCATATCAACATAATATATATATATATATGCTCTACAAGCTTATAAAAATTAACGATTTAACAAAAATTATTTCTTATATTGTCAACATTTCTTATAAGTAATGTTAAATATGTCTTACATTGAAAAATATGTGGGAACTTCACCCATGACCAATTGACTTTAGGTTGGAAGTTCGAATCTCTTCTTCACATGGTATTAAAGTCATGGGGTCCATATTTGGAATTGATCCTGTATGCATTTTTGAGATTATCATCTCGAAGGGAAAGTGTTAAATATGTCCCACATTGGAAAACATGTGGGAACTCCCTTGGCTTACAAGGGCGAAGGGTTACCCCACTATCACCAATTGATTTTAGGTTGGAAGCTTTGATCCTTTCTTAACATGGTATCAGAGTTATGTTGTCCCGTATTGGGTATTGATCCTGTATGAATTTTTGAGATGGCTTATAAGGGCGAAGGGTCAATCCACTTATCACTTATTGGTTTTAGGTTGAAAACTAGGATCTCTTCTTAACAAATAATATAAAACTATCTCAAATTAAAAATATTAACAAATATATTTTTATTTTTTATATTATATTAAAAATTAATTTTAAATTAAAAATATCATATCAATACTTATTTATTTTATATCAAAGTTTAAAATTTTATTATTCAAAACCTCCAACACAATGTGTAACCAAACAAATAAGGGTAAATAATATAACACCTCTTGTATTTTAATAAAAATGCAAAACACCCTGTATTTTAATAAAAATGCAAAACACTCTGTATTTTATTTATTGCGTAAAATCTCATGTGTTAATATAAAATTTGTACCAAACATCCTCATTGTCCAAAATTGTTATTTGGTTCTAAATAAATACACAAATTACACAAGTTTTATACAAATAAAAAATGTAAAATATTTTAAATAATTTTTTGAATTAAATAAATAAATAAATAATTGATCAATCATTTATTTTTATAACTTTTGTACAAATCAGATAACAATTTGTGTAAAAAAACTACAAAATGAAGGATTGATCAATTATTTATTTATTTTCTTTATTCAAAAAATTATTTAAGATATTTTACGTTTTTTATTTGTATGAAATCTGCGTAATTTAGGTCTCTATTTAAAACTAAGCATCAGTTTTGGAATACGGTGTTTCATGCGAACTTTATATTAACACAATGCAATAAATAAAACATATGTGTTTTGTACATTTTTATTAAAATACAAATGGGTGATATGTAATTTATCCAACAAACAAAAAAAGATTATTAGTAATTTAATAAAATATAGTTAAATTTGTAATTTAAATTATTATATGTTAATTATTGTTTTATTAAGAAATATGACTAATTTGATGGACAATAAAAAAGAAAAATAGTACTACTAATTTTGTGGGACAAAAGAGTATATCTTAAAGAAATTTTCCATTTTGTTCTAATTTATCATATTACAATTTTTTTTTATTATTATTTTTTTAGCTATTACCAAACATTTATAATTTTTTAGATTCGATATTATTTTATTACCCTTATCAATACAATAAAATGGTGGCATTCAAAAAATAAAAGCAAAATGATAAAAAGTTGATCAAAATTATATGATCCACAAACCTCCACCGAAATATAAACTAGCAAACTGATAAATTGATTGGCAGAATGTAGTATAAAATATGAAATCTGGGATGTGTTACAAGGGGTACGTACGTTAATCAAAACATAGATAGATAGATAGATGCGAATCAATTAAATGAATCGATCCGCCGGCGGCATCTACAGTAATTAATACTGAATATCTCGGGACATGCACGTTTTTCGTTATTCACGACGACATTAACTAGTAATTATATGATCTGGTAATACCACTATAGAGAGAGAGAGTAATACCACTATAGAGAGAGAGAGAGAGAGAGAGAGAGAGAGAGAGAGAGAGAGAGAGAGAATGTAATAAATTATTTGGACTTGGAGTGAGCATTAATGAGGGATTGGGCATCGGAGGGGGAGGGCAATGCTGGGATAGCTCCTTTCTGGGTGGTCGAAATTGCCCCGCACGCATTCGCGAATTTCAGCGCCTCCTTCAACTTGTTTTCGTCCTGCGCTATCGAAGGATCTTTGGCAATCGAATACAGAATAGCCCCCACAAAGGCATCCCCTGCACCCGTTGTGTCCACCGTCTTCACTGAAAACCCGCTGACTCTTCCCTTAAAGTTCTGCATCCAACCAACCATGCAGAGTATTAGTATTCGTATTATTATTATTATTATTATTATTTAATTAATTAAATAATAATAATAATAATTAATTAATAATTGCCTTGGTGAAGTATCTGCAGCCCTTCTCTCCGTCAGTGACCACAAGAAGCTTGAGCTGATCGTGCCACAGCGACAACACCGTTTCATCCTTTTGCGCGTCCTTCTGTGTCAGGAACTCCACCTCATCATCGCTCACCTGCACCCATATCATTAAATTTTGAAATGAAATCCCGATCATCCTCCAATGCAATATTAAAACTACGGTTTACAGAATGAATGAATGGATGGATGTAATGATTAACCTTGATGAAATCGGCCTGGTTCCAGATACTTTTGATCCCGGTGCGCGCAGCGTCGTGGGAAGGCCAGAGAGGGAGGCGAACATTGGGGTCGTAGGAGAGGAAAACGCCGGCTTCCTTGGCGGCTTTCATGGCAGCCATGTGAGCAGACCTGCAGGGCTCGGATATGAGGCTGATGGAGCCATAGTGGAAGATGTTGGCCTCCTTGATGAGCTTCATATCCAGCTCCGACTCCTTCAGCAGCATGTCCGCGCTGGGGTTCCTGTAAAACATGAACTCCCTCTGCCCATTGTTCTTCAGGGTCACAAACGCCAGCGCCGTCCTCGCCTGCTCATCGAACCGCACTCCCCCGCTGTCCACCCCGTTCTTCTTCAAAATGTCCACCAGCATCCGCCCGAATTCGTCGTCTCCAACCTAATTCAAGGGTTGGGCGGGGTTCAATCCCCCCCTTAGATATGAAAATATATATATACATAAAAAACAAAGAAAGACCTTGCCGATGAAGGCGGCGCGGCCGCCTAGTCTTGTGATGGCACAGGCCACATTGGCTGGTGCGCCTCCGGGGGCCTTGAGGAAGCCCTGAGACTCCGCCAGCGACACTCCCGACGTGTCCGGCACGAAATCGATCAGCATCTCGCCGAAGCACACTACCATGGAATTACCTGCAGCTTTGTTGGTCGCCATAGTGCACAATTAATTGATTAATTAATTAGCTGATAAGGGTGATGATGATGATGATGAGTGTATGAACAAATATGATGGATCGATCGACCTTGATCTTGTGGTGGTGTTGTGTGTGTGTGTATATATATATATATAGAGGTGGACCGAGAGTGAAGTGGGTCTGTTGAAGAAGAAGTTGATTGATTTTGTGGTGTGTGTTACATGTGTCTGTTTGTATGTACGGGAATAGAATTGGAAAGAGTCAGTCAAAAGAAGAAAACCACCCAAATAACAATGGCGCGCGGCCAGATGTTGGTCCCATGGATGCCCATGCCCTCCCCTCCATTAATCCCATCTCATAAGCTTATCAATGCATCTCGTCTTTGGCTCTCCGGGAATTCAGTTAATGGATGTATCGCACTATTTCCTCATTATATATATATACATATAAATAATATATTTGACTTTATTTCTATTCTATTTGTAACATAATTCAATAATAATTATTTAGTAGTAATCAATTTTTTGTTTTTGTAATATAATTGATATTATTCTTTTGCAAACATCGTAAGGCTAAGTTTACACAATTATTTTTCGATTGGTTGCCACTTTACATTTCGGATTTTTATCCAACGTCTTGCCATTCTGTTCGATTTATTTATTTCAATATGCACTCACATTATGAAAAGACTAACACTTTTGTAACAAAAATTAGAGATATAATTTATTTTGATTGTTATTAGAGACGAAAATAGAAATAAAAATACCTTTATTATCAAATAAAAATCAATGACAGAATAAAATGCATCCATTGGCTGGGTATCTTCAACGAAGCGGATCACTGCTTGGGAGCGATCACAATGCAAGCGATTAGAACTCGTTCACAAGGATATACGACAGTTTTATTTGGATTTAACTTTCAATATGAATGAACCAGTCGCTGAAAATCCTGAATGAACAAAAAATAAATATTAACAATATTTCATTATTTATTTATTTATTATATTATATATATATAAGCTAACAATAAAACAAAAGAAGCAGATAAGGTAAGCGGCGCTATATTATTATTATTATTATTACTACGTTTAGTATTATTATTAGTATCATTATTATTGCCTAAAACAGATAAAAAAAAAAATTCAAACAGAAATGAAAAATAGAAGCCGTTGTGGTAAGCGGTTTTTTGGAATTTTCCAAATTTTTTTTTTTTTTTTTTTGAATTTTTCTGATTTTCTCCGATAGATACATTGCCGTGCAGGTTTGATCCTTGAAAGATATCGCACTCTCGAAATCTACAAAGCATACCGCCGATGGATTAAAGGTTCAAAATAAAATAAAAATTAATATTAAAATTAAATTAGCATTAAACTCAATATTTTCCAATAAAAACAAAGATACTAGGTTTATTCCCAGGCAACGGCGCCAAAATTTGATCAAAGATTTTTGGAGAGATTTAAAAATATCTTTTAAGATACAAAAAAATTGATATATGTATAAAATAAAAATAGTTTCGTGCGTGTTCGTGTAGTAACTTCAAAAATTTTGTCAAAAAAAAATCTTTTTAACCGGTGCGTGTCGGGGTCGAACTCAGTGAATATGTGAATATCATATATTTAATTAGAAAAGAAGTGCAATGAGTTAATGCAATCGAAAAACTGAAAAGATAAATTGCAAAAAATAAATCTAACTAAAAAGCAATTAAATATATGTATCTCGAAAATGATGAAGGGAGGTGTTTGTGTCTGACTTTTGCGTTCCTTAATGGCTAGATTTCCATAGATGAAATGAGCGGGATAACGATGGCGTGATAGCGAAAAATATGTGTATAATTGCGGAGCGGCTCAGAGGATTGAATGTGATCGCATTTGCTCGCTTAAGCCGATTTTCGACTCGGTTGGTACTTAACCTTAGGGGATTTACAACGAGGCTTCAACAACACCCAGTGAAGAATATTACAAGCAAGAAACTCTACTGTCACTAGAAATTTCTATGACCCAATAGACCACCGCCTATGCCCTATGAATTATTCTTCTAACTGTTCCGCTAGTGGCTCTACCCCTCTGATACCTCTCTTTAATCGAAATCGAATTCAGAACAGCAACTAAGCAGGACGACAAGGCTCCCGCGTACTTAGCTACGTTGAACTACCCGGAATCTGTTTGTGACACGAAACAAGGCTGAAATAGTCGATTCTTCTATCGCCCTTCCGCAACCTTGTTGAAATCCAACTTGAACAATTCAAATCGGACATGGAATTTTTGGGTGAAGGTGTGGTAGAGAAATATGATAGGAATTTTACTAGCTAAAAGAATATGCAGGAATTAAAAGAAAATGAGGAGAAAATCAGTTTGCTCGCGATACGAAATCGAAAATCTCGTATTATTAAACTATATAAAAATATGGGAGAAAAGAAATGGAGAAAATGGAGTGTATGAAATGTATATTGTGTATATATGGTGTATATGTGTTATAGGGGATATTTATAGGAGGGAAAGCTTCTAGAAGCTTCACGATTACAACCGCCCATAAATAACTACTTCTAAAAATAACTACTAACTACCCCTAAAAATAACCATAAATAACTACCTCTAAAAATAACTATTAATTACCTCTAAAAATAACCATAAATAACTACCTATAAAAATAACAACTAATATAACTACTAATAACTTACTAAAAACTACCTATTTTCTAGAAAGTTCTAAAATAAATATCACACAAAAGTAGCCAAAATTGGCTAACCGATGATGCAAGAATTAAATATGGGAGCTAGGAGAGTGCAGGAATAAATGCAGGGTGGCTGGAATTAATGCAGGAGTTGAGGGAGGTTCGGCGGATTTAGGGCGTGTTTGGCAATTAGCTGATAGCTATTAGCTGATTCAATTAGCTAATAGCTGATTCAATTAGCTGATTTGACTAGCTGATTCGATTAGCTGTTTGTATTAAAATGTTTGGTAAAACAACGGTTTGATATTAGCTGTTTATATGTAAAATGACAATTGATGACATTTTTATTTTATTCTTGTTTCTAATATATTCAACTATGTTTTTTTGAGTTCAGAATGTTTAAAATTTTTTGTTATTAGTTATTGAAAATTGTAAAAGTGTTATAAAAGTATTTATTTTTATTACAGTTAGATTTAAAAAATAATATATTTTAATTAAAATATATAAATAGTTTTTTTTTATTGAAAATGATGTAAAATATAAAATAATAAAATTTTCGTGTATATATTTATTATGTTAGTTATCAATTAGTTCATTATATTTATAATTTTCAATAAATTTAATTTATTTAATTTATTTTTAGTATAAAATTTATATAATTTAATTTTAATAAAAATAAATAAATTATTAATATTTATATTTTTATTTATGTTAATTTTAATAAATTTATATATTTTATTAAAATAATTTTTATATAAAAATTAATTATTTTAAATTTATAAAAGTAAAATTATAATATAATAAAATATTCTAATATAATTAATAAATAATCAAAATATATTTATTTGTGTAAAATGTATAATAAATTTTTAAGGGCATATAAGGAATAAAAAAAAAATTTATAGAAAAAGCTATTTCAAAACGTTGGGTAAGTTATCTTTTCATAAATTAGCTTTTTTGTTCCAAAAAGCTATTCCAAAAAGCTAATTTACCAAACACCTAAATTAGCTTTTTGACTGGTCAAACAGCTAAAAGCTATTCAATAAGCTAAAAGCTCTTCAAAGTGCTATTTGTCAAACACCCCCTTAATGCAGGGTGGCTGGAGTAAATGCACCGCTGACCCCGCGGCAATAAACGCAGCCGCCGCTTGTTTTCTTCATAGCCGTCATCGCTCATTTTTATGCAGAGATTTCCGCTCCGCTCACATTTCCGTGCAGCCGCCACTCACGGAGTCCGCGCCAGCCGCCATTGCTTACCGCGTTCATAAATGCAGCTGTCGCTCACCTTCCGCGCTCGCGCACTCCTATGCAGCCGGCGGTCATGGAGTCCGCGCCAGCCGTCGCTTCGCTCACTTCCATGTATGATCTTCCGCGCTCATAATACAGACGCCTCTCACGGATTAATGGATATAGAATTCCGCTTCGCTCAAATTTCCGTTTAGCTGCCATCGCTTTATGCGTGGCCATCATCGCTTTCCGCGCTTGCTCACTTTCCGCGCCAACTGCTAACTTTGACTTCGCGCATTGACTTTTCACCGTTGACCATTGACTTTTGTTGACTTTCGCGCCGGTAACTGTTTTTTCTCGCTTTTTATAAAAGCCAGTTTTGAACTCTCAAATCAGTTTTCAAACATTATTTCACTTGTATAAATAATAAACACCTTATAAATATTTATTTAAATAAATAATAAATAAAATTAATTTAGCCAAAATTAAACACTTAAATAGCATATAAGTAATTCTTTAAAATATAATTCAAGAAACACATCAATTAATTTAATTTATACACCAAAATAATTATAAATTACACCTAAAAATTAATAAATTAATATTATACACACGAGATGAAATAAATACAATTATTAGAATAAATTAATATAAATAATACTCAAATTCGACATAAATAAATAAATAATTAAATAAATATAAGTTATATAATATGACAAAATCAAGAGTTATCAATACACAATAAATAGTCACCCCAATTCCAACCAATTTTAACTATATATATTTGTCATTGCATCAAAGGTAACCTATTACCATAAATTAGGCATAAGGGCCAAACACCTTAGACATAAACAATGGTTAAATAGCTTACTAAATATGGTGTAGCTCAAACCACAATAACTATCCGTAAAAGCATTAAGAAATTATTAGGTGTGAGCATTTGGATTTTCGATCCAAAAATCCAAAATTTTTGAAAAAGTCAATTCGAACCGAATCGAAATAATCGAAATCCGAAATCCGAACTAAAAAATTCGAACCAAACCAAAAATCCGAAATTCTAAATATTTTTATTATTTTTTTTATTTTTAAATTTCTTTTATATTTTATTATTGTTTTATAATATTAAATATATATAATATATAAAAATTAAATATATTAAAATATAATTAATAAATTTGAGTTTTTTATATTAAAATATAGTATTTTCTAATAAAATATTAAATATATATAATAAAATAAAATGTTATATTTCGGATTTCGAATTGGTTCGAATTTTAAGTATACCGATCCGATCCGATCCGAAAATCCAAAATTTGTTAAAAATTCAATCCGATCCAATTCGAAAAATCCGAACCAAATTTTAAATTTCGGTTTGGTTCGGATTGAATTTTCGAATTTCGAATATTTTTCTCACCCCTATAAATTATCCATCGGGAAAAAGTAACATCTTCAGTATTATTTTGTTGTGCAAGATAGGATGATAACGACCACACGAGAATAATAGTTAACCATTTCAATATGTTTTGAGCGTTATAAAAAGTAACAAAACGTCTGTATTCTTGAGGTTATAATATGTGTATATGATTATAACGGATAAACGTTTTTCCTTTTTTTTTTTTTTTTTTGGATATATCAAAATTACAGACGAAACTTTACCATAATTTTTAATACATGTTCACATATTTGTTCAAACATAACATAATTTTTATAGAACTTTCAACTCTGCATTTTATTTCATTATTTTATTTCAATGCGAAAACTGAACACAAGAACATGATGCAAAATTATTTAACATATGATTAAAGTGAATAAAATAATACCCACTCCGTCACAATACAATAGTCTTGTTTACCATTTTTGTCCGTCCCAAAACAATAGTCTCATTTTCATAAATAACTATATCACTATAAAATTATCCCTACTTTTTCATTATTATTACACAATTGTCACTACTTTTTACACTAATATACTCACAAGGGCGAAAAAATCATTTATCCATACTTTTTACCAACTACCAATATAATATCAATATTCCTTAAATCACGTGCCAAACACAATAAGACTATACTTTTAGGACGAAGAGAGTATTATAAACACACCTCATGCATGTGTAATTTCTTTTTAGTTTATTAATTGATGTTACTCATAAATAAATTAAAGTTTGCTATTTTAACATTGTATTATTTTAGTTTTATTGCATATTTTATTTCAAATATATAATGTAAATTATAAATTTTATTAGTATTATATATTAATTTATAGTTTTTATATTTTTTTTATAATTCATTTTAAATAATATTTTTTTAGAAAAAAACTCAATTTTGGTCTCAATATAATCAAAATTTATCAATTTTGGTCATAATATAAAATAATAATAATAATAATAATAATAACTCATCCATTATAGTCTCATTATAAATAATTTCAATCAATTTTGCTCTCATTGTTAAAAAAAAACTAACGGAAATTGCTGACGTGGACGTACGAGGTTGACGTGGCAGCTGATCTGGAAACAACACGGTCATATACAATTATACACGGCCATGTTATCACACAGCCATGAATAGTTAATGTACATTATATACGGTCATGTTGTCACACGACCATATTTAATTTTACATGACCATATATCTTTCGATTTTGGTCTAAAATTATTTTTTTGTTATATTTTTTAAAACAAATATATTTTGAATTTATTATAATTGATATAGTTAAAATAGAAAAAATCAATAGCAATCCTAATATAATTAAAATGTATCAATTTTAGTTCAAATATAAAAATTTATTGAGTAGATTTTTTTGAAAAATTTTGCCTAAAATTATACTATTCACCAAAGCTTTTGCTCTTACAAACATCAAATTATACAACTATTTTAGGTGAATTTTAGAATTTTAGGCAAAATCTTCCAAAATAACATACCCCATAAATTTTATATTTGAACTAAAATTGATACATTTTAATTATATTAGGATTGCTATTAATTTTTTATATTTTAATTATATCAACTATTTTAAATTCAAAATATTTTTTTAAAAAATATATATAATAAAAAAAAATAGACCAAAAAATAAAGTTACATAACCATGTAGAATTAAACATAACCGTATATAATTATACATTGAATTATACGTGACCATCTATATTTATACATAGCCGTATTGTTTCCAAGTTAGCTGTCACGTCAACGTCAGTTATTTTCGTTAATTTCTTAACGGTGAAACCAAAATTGATTAAAATTATTTATAATAAGACTAAAATTGATGAGCTTTTTATATTGAAGCCAAAATTAATAAATTTTTTATTTTTTCCTTATTTTCTTTTATTAAATTTTTCAATTATTATTTTTTTAATTATTATATTTTAGTAAAAAAATTAATACTTTTTAAACTTATCAAAATATTAAAATACTTAAACATACATGTAAAATCAATCCAAATTTCTTTAATGATGCATTTTGAGATAAAGAGTATTAAATATGTATACATGTTTTTAATTGTGACCGTAAAAATAAAATATTATTAGTATTTTTATATAAATTGACTGTGTATAATACTATCTCCGTCCCACGTGACCATTTGATCAAGGACATATATATTTAAGGTGAGATTGTTTAATTAATTAATAATAATTAGTTATGATATTATTATATTATTTTTTGTATAATTAATAATATTTATAGTTCTAAAGTAAATTTAATATATATGATTAAAAAAATTAAAATATATGTTTAAATATTTAAAAATTATATAACAATTAAAAAATATACGCAATATGGATATCATTTTTTGTAGAGAATAAAATCTTCTATAATACAAATAAATAAAAAAATATTTTTGTTTATTTATAATTAACATAAATCAATTTTATAAAAGATGTGTAATTTTAAATATAGATAAAAATATTTATTTTTTTAAGGAGGGGGTTAGAAATAAAGGGGTTTTGAATTGGCCCATATTATTTATTTATGATGTTTTATGTTACATAGTTAATTAAGTTGATTTATATTTATTAAATATTACTAAAAATAACGTCAATTATGGTGGGATGAAGGAAGTACGGCTAGTATATATATCTAAATTATAAATTATTTTTTAATTCTAGTATTTTTTATGATTTTATATAGTGATAAAAATATTAAATTATAGTAAAGTATATATTAAAATTGAAAAGATAAAAAATATAAAGAGTTAGTTTATAATAATTATTTAATAATTAAAAAGTTGTTTAATATTTTTTCATTTTTTTTTAAAGTAAATATATATTCAATAGTTTCATTAGATAAATCAAATTTATAGTTATATATTATAAAAAACAATAATATAATATAATATAATATAAAAGTGACTGCCATTATACGCTCAACAAACTTAGCTTGTTCCATCTTCCCAGTAAGCTTGGTTTCCTATTTTTGTGCAGTTTCTCCCCACATAATCGATAAAACCCGGAATTCAAATATAATGGGAAGAACAAGAATAGAATCTCATATCAGGGTTTTTCAACGGGTGGGTGGCAAAATCGCAATCCCATGAATTAATGTCTGTCGGCTTTGCCGATCGATCATGAATACAATAGACGATTGCAATTTCTGTAAATCACTCCAAAGGAAGGAACCGGCTGGGCAGCCAATTGATGATTTCTTAATTTCATGGCTAATTCCATATCTTGTGAAAGTGCAGTAGGGTTGGCCGGTTGGGGAATTAACCCTCAGCTAAACCTAAGACCATCCAGGATATCTCTCCACTGGTAATTAATTAGTATGTTTTTTTTAAAGTTAATTTGATTTTTTCAAACTAGTTTTCTTTGGCCTTGGATGTTTGCATGCTTAATTTGATCCATATAATATGCCTGTCAATTCATTTAATTATTTTTGATGTGATGTTTTACACCAAACAAATCAAATTAAACACTTTCTGTTGCCAGTGCTGTGAATTAATTTAATTTCTTGGTTGGTTCTAGTCAATTATATTAATTGCTTGCTACTTTCTTCATCATAGTTCTGGTTCATGTCTAGCCTATTGCTATTATAATTCATATTCTCATTATGCTGCTGCTTATAAAAAATGGTAAACATCGATCCAATCTTTCGATCATCATTGTTGTTTATTGCATGAATTTCCTTTCCCAGTAAATCAGGAAAGATCAAGTCTCTGGCATCACAGAGCTCAGCATTTTTAACTCAGAAATCATTTAGTGTGTCACGACCGGGCATGGGCATCCATTCATGCGGTAGGAGAGGACTCGGAGGCCCCTTTGTTGTTAGAGCCGAGCAAGTGAGATATCATCTATCTTTCTGTAATAACTTGAGAGAAAGCATGTCCAAATTTCGTATAAATTTATTAAGTAGATGAACCAACTTCTTTCGCATTTTATTGTATTGTATTTAGTTTTAGTGCAAACTTTGTTACATGTAGGAGGACTATTACTCTGTTCTAGGGGTGCCTAAAAATGCAAGCAAGCCAGAGATCAAAAGTGGTGAGTATAACTATTAATTAGTAAGCATTATCATTCTCCATTCTCGATATATTATCATCTTTCTTTCCCTCGAGAAAATTAAAATTTTCATTGCAACAGCCGCATTTCATTTATTTTCTTAGAGTCGGTCGTCTTCCTTCCTTCCTTGGTAATGTTTATAACTTATAAGAATGTTTCTTCTTCAGCATATCGAAAACTTGCCAGGAGCTATCATCCAGATGTGAACAAGTGAGTCCTGTTGGTTCATTATTTAGCTCTCATCTTTAATTTACATACCTTCATGTATACAATAACATCTAAGATTCTTGTATATAAAATGCAGAGAGGCTGATGCAGAACAAAAGTTCAAGGAGATTACCAACGCTTACAAGGTAAAACATAACATTTGATTGGGAATGTTTTGTACAGAAAAATATACAAATAAATTCATTTCTCATATTTGTTTGTCTTTTAAGGATTGAAAGTTAAAAATATATTTATTTCTAAAATTGAATTCTTTACACTACAAACCCAAATTTATATTATTTGTAGTATACAATTTTCTGTTTATCTCACAAAATATTTCAATCATACATTATTTTAATCAAAAGAACACACCCTAAATTTTTTTTCATGAGTATCCATCACCGTCGTCACACCATTCTTTACTATTGGAGAGTTCTAGATATAGAAAATATAATTTTGTAACAGAATTATTATTATTATTATTATTATTATTGAGAACACATGAATAAATGATAATTAATTTTCTATCACACTTTTTAAAACTGTCTTACTAAATTAATCCATTCTCATTCTCCAAATTAATTCCAGTTATCTGTAAGTTTATTTTTTGTTATCATTTTGTCACAATTCCATTTTCTATATCAAACACATCTCTAGTTAAAGATTGTTTACTTATGATGCTATTGCAGTACATGTAAAAACTGATCCTTTTTCTTAACAGGTTTTATCAGATGATGAGAAACGTTCCAACTATGACAATTATGGAAAGGCTGCAGGTTTTAATGGTGGTTCTGGCATGGGTGTGGGTATGGGGGTAAGTATTTTTGCTATTGAATGTACATAAACCCAACACCTATGCTATGAACATATCTAAAGTATTAATTTGGGGAGTTGTAGTATTCTCATATCTGGTATAATGACAGGATTTCAGCTACTCATTCGATCTCTACAACTCATTATTAAAAGGCATGGGAATGGGCGTAACATCCTCCCCCGCCATGGGAGGGGAAGACTTGGTCTATAATCTGGTTCTGGATTTCAAAGAAGCCATATTCGGCACTGAGAAAGAGATGGAAATAACTCATCTTGAGAGCTGCAGCAGCTGTAACGGATCAGGATCGGCACCCGGAGCAGAGCTGTCAAAATGCAGCGCCTGCGATGGCCAAGGGAAGGTTTTGTCGTCGGCAAAGACTCATCTAGGCCTATTTCAACAAGTGTCGCCATGTTCGACCTGCAATGGAGCTGGAGAAATACCATCTACTCCTTGCAGTACATGTGGAGGGGGCGGCCGGATAAGCAAGTCAAAGAGCATTAACTTGAAAGTTCCGGCTGGGGTTGATTCCGGTTGCCGCTTGAGGGTCAAGTCACAAGGAAATGCTGGGATTAGAGGAGGCCCTTCTGGCAATGTTTTCGTTGTCATAAATGTTCTTCCGGATTCTGTCCTAAAGCGCAATGGCGCCAACATCCTTTATATATGCAAGGTTTCTTATACTGATGCGATATTAGGGACAACGGTGATGGTACCTACTTTGGATGGGGTGGCGGAGCTTGAAATTCCAGCTGGCACACAGCCGTGGACAACCTTAGTTATGGCTAACAAAGGCGCGCCTTTTTTAAACAAGACAGACGCGAGGGGTGACCAGCTGGTTAAAGTACAGGTTGAGATACCGAAAGAGCTAAGCTTCGAGGAGATGGCGCGCGTTGAAGAACTCGCGAAAATGATGCACGAGGCCAATGCCGCTAGCAGTGTCAGCTAAATCCAACAGTTTTCTAACATCGTATATGGTTGGTTTATTTGAGTGTAGAATTTCGAATACTTTTTTCATGAGATTGGGAAGTGGCCTCTGTGTTCCATTAGAATCTCCATTGATGATCGATCACACAAGTGAGTATTTGAGAGCTAACTTCTTTTTTTTTTTTCAAATTAAAAAACTATGTATATATACATATTGTGAATTCTCTTGCAGAAGCTCCTGCCCTGCAGATTGAGGAATTCCTCAGAGGTTTCTCATCGTCAAATACTTTGTGATGACCAAAGCAAGAATCATCTTCACCCACCATTTCTGCCCCTTGAGTGAAATGGATCCACCACACATCAATCTGTTGTCATGATATGTGCACTCTGGCTGCTTCCTGTAAATTAAATAGATTCCAGATCACTCTACAGAATCATTTAATTTAATTTAGTTTAGTTTAGTTTAATCAGACCTGGAAGAGCAGAAGGAGACGACATAGTCGGCGCCGGAGCAGGTGAATATACTGGTGGGGTCATCGTACGCATAACTGTAAGCCGTGGGGCACGCGCGCTTGAACTTCTGCGAGTAATACGTGGGGCGGCACGTGACCGGATTCCCATATGCACCCCGGCAGCAATACTCGTCGGTGTTGAACACGTCACACGCGCTCCGGCAGCCCACGACCCTTCCTCCGTTGCCTTTCACGGCCAGCTCCGGCGGGCAACTGCGCCGTAAATCAGAGCTGCATCCCACCACGCTGCAATTCCCCTTGCCGTTGATCGGCGTCACGACCATCGGCAAATTGAAGCCGTCGACGAGGCTGACGTCGTAGAAGTCAGTGGTTGTCAGGGTGAACTCAGCCAGTGAGGCCGGCGGCTTGCCGGAGGCCGAGCACTTGAGGGATGGGCCGCAGTCGCCGGTGAGGCACGAACCGTTGCCGGTCTGGTCGAAGTTGCAGTTGGACCGGCCCCATATCCGACCGCTCCACCCAACCGGGGCTCTGAAGACAATGCTTTGGCCGGTTTTAAGGGAGCCGCTGCTGCCGCCGTTCTCAGCGTCGCCGGGCATCACCGCCGGCCAGACTGGTTCCCGGCAGTAGTTTACAATTGTAAACGTTCTGAGACATTCGGACGGATCAAATCCTGTAGTAGTGAAAGGAAAATTAGTAGAATCAGTTAGTTTGTTCCATTACTCAATTCAGACATTTGTGGATAGCTGACCTGACAGTACAAGTAGAAAGAAAAGCAATGCTGCTGCAGCAAGAGATTGATTTGGGCATTCCATTATCATCATCGATCAGGGTTTAATCTCAAGGTTTAAAAATCGCAGACCGTTTCAGCTGGCTATAAGTGAGGATCAACAAGAGATTAAAAATAAAAGAAATAAGAAAAACGAATGATTGTGGAAGAGGAAGTTTCCAAGAATGAAAAAGGTAAGTTTACTTTCTGAAAAAGGAGAGAATGATTCTTTTCCTTATTGATTCGTGGAAGCCATCGGCCATGGAAGTGGAGCAAGTCAGCCTGCCTGCGTGCACAGATTAAAAAATATCAAATGTTTATTCACGGATAGGATAGGATACAAAGCTTCATCCCAACTCTCAGTACAAAACCACAATAGCAATCGCCATCGCCATTGCATTCATTACAAACAAGCCAAGTAAATAACATCATCCCCATCTCCAAGGCCCAGCTGGTGATGGATTCTATAATCTTCTCGTGGTATTATTATTCACTAGTTGGCTTCTTGGGTTTTGCAGCTCTCTCTCTCTCGCTCTCTCTCTCTCTGAATATATATATACATCCCCAATTTTACTTTGGTTTGCTTCAATTGACATTGAGAATAATAAAAGAGCAGAGACAGACCTTTTTACCTTCCCAATTCGCTCAGCCTCAGCTGGCCTCGCATTTAATTCTAATTTTACTTTTAGGGCGCACTGTTTTTAACAATGGGGGAGGCGAGGCGTTTGATCTGTAAATAAAACTAATATATTATTTAAAATTAAGTATTAATTTAAATTTTTATTTAAATATTGATATTGTAAATAAAATAAATTATTTTTATTAAAGATTATATCAATATAAAATTTAATTGTATAAGAAAATATTTTTAATATTTAATTTAATTGATTATTTTATAAAATTATTATTTTTTTAAAAAATATTCTTAATCAAATAACTCCAATCCATTTTTAGAGTGGAGTTCTGTAGCATTTTGTGGTATTTGGTGTATTTTTGTTTTTGTTTTTTTTTTTTTTTTTTTTTGGTGTATTGTGCAATTTTTATTTTTTAAAATGATGATATATAATTGTTACGTATGAAATTTATAATTAAATCCAAGTTAAAAAGAAAAATGGGCCTACAATTGGGTTTGTTGGACTGATCAAGGGGTGTTGCGAAGAAATCAGGTGAAATAGACGTATTTCTAAGAAAATAGCGGGTCGGAAGGTCCGCAGGTCTGAAAGTCCGCAAGTCGGAAAGTCCACAGGTCGGAAGGTCCGCAGGTCGGGTGATCCATAAGGCGGAAAGTCTGCGAGTAGGACGGTTTACAAGTCGGATAGTCTGCAGGTCGGGTGGTCAGTGGGTCGGACGATATACAAGTCGAAAGGTATGTGGTTGGGCCAACAAGGCGGATAGTCTGTAAATCGGGAGGTTTGCGGCTGGACCAACAAGTCGGGTGGTTTGCAAGTCGGGAGGTTTGCGGCTGGACCAATAAGTCGGAAGGTTTGCGGCTGGACCAATAAGTCGGAAGGTTTGCGATCGGACAAAAAAGACAGAAGGTTTGCAGTCGAACCAACAAAGCGTAAGGTCTGCGGTCAGTCCAAAAAGGCGAAAGGTTTGCGGTCAGACCAACAAGGCGGAAGGTCTGCGGTCGGTCCAAGAAGTTGGATACTGTTGAGAGCGAGTGAGAGTAATAATTCGGTCGGCTGGAGACACGTGTCAGCAGAAGAAGAGTTAGCATACGGTTGAAAAAGAGGTGTTGTAACCCGGTTTCCAGTACCGTTTCTAAAGAGTATTTAATGATTGAGATTTGCAACTGACAAGGTATCTTTAATCATCTTCAAAACGACGACAAAGTCAGTGATTCGAGGATCATCATTTTAAATTTCCAGTATTTTAATTTCCAGTTTGTTTTTTTAGAAATTCCTAATCTCAGGCGATAAATATATCAAATTCGAAGATAATTTTCTATTTTCGGATTTTACTTTTTATTTGTTGAAAAAATACGTCAACAATAATATTATATTTTATAAAGTTATATGTAATTTAACATTTTTTTTTTAAAAATAATGTATAATTTTATTTTTTTTTAAAAAATAATATATTATAATTTTATTTTTTTAAAATTATTTTATTTGTAATAGTTATTAATTATAAATATTAATTTTCATATACGAAATTTTTAAATAAACAATAAATTATTTATGTATGGATTATAATGTATAAAATAAATTAAAATTGAAGTATAATTTATAAATATAAAAAATTATATAAAGAATAATATATAAAGAATATATTTTTAAAGTAAAAATTAAAATATATGATTGAATTAAAATCAACAGTATTTTTACTATAGCTACTGCAAAAATAAAATGAAAAATTAAAGATAATCTAAATTAAATCTAACAGAAGAAAATATTTTTATATTAATGCAATATAGTTCACGAACACAAACTAATTATAAATAAATAATATTCAAATTCTTTTTTTTACAAATAATAGGTAGTAAAAAACACATGTTATTTGTATATATTTTTAAAATTTTAATTCTGTGCACTATAATGATATCAAATGAATCTGTAAATAATAAATGCTCAAAATCCAAAAAGAAAGAATTTAAAAGGGAAGAAAATAATTAAAAAAGGGAAAAGTCGGCGCGCCATCTGAACCTCCGCCGACCAAATAATTGCTGCTTCCGTCTCCGACGTTTTCCCATCACCCACTTTTCTTGAATCTTGGGTTCTCCCCTTTCAATTTTGATCCATCCATCCATATAAATCTGTATAGATTTACATTCGTACGTGTTCTTTGTATTCTGATCTTATCCACTATATAGAGAGGGAGACCGTACTCGACACCCCACCTCTCTCTCTCTCTATCCTTGCTCTGTCTGACCCATTATTCTTCGCTTCAATTTTAATCTCTTCTTTTTTTTCGAGGGTTCTTCCGCGATTTTTTTGGGTAAAGCGGAAGATCGCTTCTTTTCAATTGATTTGATCTAATTTTTATAAATTTTTATTCTTAATCTTGGGAAATTATGGGGGTTTTGGTTGTTGAATCGAACAGGGATTTTAGTCGCCCTGAGGGAAGTTCTGCTGATAATGATTTCAAAGATAAGAAAAAGAAACATCGGTCTAGAAAATCTAAGCAGCCTATATCCGGTAATCTTTCTCTCTTCAAATTTTTAGTTGAAGGATTCGGTGCTATGTGCTTTGCACAGTTACTATCTTTTGTGTTTTCTTCTTTTAATGTATGTTGGGGGTGGGAAGATCATTTTGCCTTACCATCATTAATCGGAGTATTTGTAGGTCGAATTTTAAGGTTATGGCCGATGGTAATGAACTTGCTCAGAATTGCAATTTGTGATTGTGATAGTAGATTTTTCTACTTTTAAGTTGGTTTAGAAAGTCCAATCAAGGTGCATTTTGTTCTTTGATGATACCTCTCTGTTTAGCCATTGATTCAAAACTTGGAAGTACAAATCTAGTGGAAGTGGATGTTTGTAAGATATCCTTCACCTGTTAGTGTGTAATTAGCTACCTTGGATTCTAATTGAATGATTTAATGTTTCTGAAACTGCTTGTTGCTTTGTATTTAGGTTCCTTGTATTGTGTGGTTTCGTATTCTTTTCTTTTTTAAGATAATTATGTTTGTCAGCTGTGATACTTGTTGCAGGCACTAGTTATGAAAGTGAGATTTGTGGGGATTCTTCTGACTTGCAGGGAGAGAGCACTTCATCAGATCATGTTGTTTTGAATGGAAATTGTCAACTGCCTGAACAATACGACACCGTGACTCATCATGTGGGAGTAAATGGGCATCATCAAGTGCCCAAAGAAGGAAAGGCAGGTGTAGACTTGGACACGAGTTTGTGTCAGTATGCAAACGAACATATTGTGGATGCACATCAGCAAAATCGGCAGGTGCACTCTTGCTATGAGTCGAAGGAGGCTGCAGTTGCCAGCGAAGATACTGTTGGACCTACCATAGTGGCTAGGCCTATTGATTTCCAAGGACATAGAAAATGTTTTCCTCCGCATCTATCTATGGAAGCTGTTTCCGAAGCATTGAAGGTTTTTATTACGGTTCTTTACTATGTAAATCTCATGATTTTCTTTACTAAGGATATTAAATACAACTACTATTTAAATCAAAACTTAAAAAGCCAAACACACCATTGGTACTACCTTTTCAGGTCCCAATTCTATTGTTTTTTTTCTTATGCAGAGTGGTAAGTTATTGAAAGCTGTATTTCGTGTCAATGCTCACAATAAACTTGAGGTTTGTAACTTGTTCACTTTCCATCTGTAGCGATTGCCGTTTGTATTAAATGAAACTCTTATGATCTTTGATTTTAGGCATACTGCAAAATTGATGGCTTCCAAACTGATGTTCTCATTAATGGTGTTGTGGCTCAGAACAGAGCTGTAAGTGTTTCTTCCGACTTATTACTTATTTTAGTATCGTTTACTTGCAGTCAATACCGAACCCGGTAGATGGGAATGGGGTCACAGGACCCTACTTGATTTTAACTTTTTTAATTGATAAAAGATTTATCATCAAGGGATTTTTTATTGTTTGTATTTAAGAACTCTGATTTATAATATTAAATGTACAATTTTCTCTGAAATGATATACATCCACAGCTCATTCTTCATTTAAAATATCACTTCCAATAACTAATTATTACATTAGAAGAGAAAAAAAAGATTTTCTTAAGAATGCTGTAAATAATATTGTAATGTAAATGTTTTCAATGTAAGAAAAATGGAAAGACAATTCTGATTTCAAAGCTTGTGTTGTAATAGAACCTTATTAAAATTTTCCATTTATTATTTCATCTAGATCCACCACTGCTTGCTTATTCTTACTATTGATCAGTCAGCCATTTACATTCTTTTTTGTCTCGACTTCTCTTTAACTGGACCTGTAGTATGTCAGTAACCATTTGTGTATTTCTCCTTTTATAACTTAAATCTTTTGTCTCTATAGGAAGCAGAGGATTTTATTGTCTACCAGATTGCATATGCATGCACATGAATTCTGACTTATACTACCAACTGTTTTTTCGATTGTGTTTTTTTAATATTTACTCATGCGTTGAACTCTAAGATATATATGGTTTATTAAAACTGAAGCTTTGATGTTTATAGATTGAAGGAGACACTGTTGCGGTAGTCATTGATCCTCCATCTCTATGGCCTAGAATGAAAGGCTCAAATGAAATACCGAATAGTTCAGCATCTCAGAACAGTCGTCGTGATGCCATTGTACATGTTCCAGATTGTTCCATTGTTGCAAACAAGTTGCATCCTGAGAGTGAGATTGTGTTGCCCAGTAATGGCGAAAATGGCCACGAGGACAGTATGTATTACGACTGTGCATCATCTTATGGAGCACCGCCAGATAATGGTTTTATGGGGGAAGTGCTAGATAACACTTACGCTCGCGGCTGTGAACCTTGCTCACCTGCTGCTAAAGGGAAATATCATAGTGAGTCATGTGATTCAGTAAATGTATCGGAAAAGTTGCGCTTCTTCACAACTCTATATCCATCAAAACGTCCAACAGGTAGAGTTATTTCTATTATTGAGAAATCTCTTCGACGGGACAATGTTGTCGGTTTTTTGAGTGTGAAACAGTGGATTTACAACAGAGAGAAAAGAAAGAATTCCAGGAAGAACAAAATTCAGTCAGACCTCAGTTATGGGTATGTTTTTCTGTCGCCAAATGATCCTAAATTTACCAAAATGATGTTATCTGTAAGGAACTTGCCTGAAAGCCTAAAAAAGAGACTTGGAGCTGGTGATACAACAATTGAGACAGATCTGGTTGCAGCAAAAGTCATTGATTGGTCTGAAGAAAGTTATATTCCAGATGCATCAGTCATTCAAATTTTTGGAAGGGGAAGCGATGTCAAAGCTCAGCTTACTTCAATTTTATTTGAAAATGCTATAGATGCTTCTGAATTTTCTCCTGAAGTGCTTTCATGTATTCCCCAAGCCCCTCTAGAAGTACCACCGGAGGAACTACAATGCAGAAGGGATCATAGAAAATTGTGTGTCTTTACCATCGATCCTGCCAGTGCTACTGATCTTGATGATGCATTGTCAGTCGAAAAATTAGCAAGTGGTGATTTTAGGGTGGGAGTCCACATTGCAGATGTTTCGTATTTTGTGTCACCTGATTCAGCTCTAGATATGGATGCACAGATCCGATCAACCAGTGTCTATTTATTGCAGCGGAAATTGCCGATGCTGCCTTCTGTGCTCTCAGATAATTTAGCATCACTCAATCCTGGAATTGATAAACTAGCGTTTTCCATATTTTGGGACATCAATTCTGCCGGTGAAGTTTTAGATCGATGGATTGGCCGCACCATTATCCAGTCATGTTGTAAGCTTTCTTATGATCATGCACAGCAAATGATTGATGACACCTTTGATTTCAAGGATTCAAAAAGTCTGATGGTTAATCAATGGCCTAAATTGTATGGCAAGTTTGCATGGTCTGATGTAATTAAATCGGTGAAAACCCTCCATGAAATATCAAAAGTTTTGAGGGAAAATCGGTTGAAAGATGGGGCTGTGTTGCTTGAAACCCCGAAAATATCCTTCTTGTTTGATGAGGAAGGCATGCCATACGACAGTGTACTCTCTGTGCGGAGGGATTCAAATTATCTTGTGGAGGAGTTCATGTTGTTAGCTAATAGAACAGCTGCGGAAGTGATCACTCGAGCTTACCCAACTACTGCTCTCTTAAGAAGGCACCCTGAACCAAATGCAAGAAAACTTAAGGATTTTGAAGCCTTCTGCCATAAACATGGTCTAAAATTGGATACTTCATCCTCGGAAAAACTCAACCGATCTCTGGAGCAAATCAAGAGGGAACTTTCACATGACTCAATTTTGTTCGACATACTAATGTCTTATGCTGCAAGACCAATGCAGCTGGCTTCCTACTTTTGCAGTGGAGATTCAAAGGATGCAAGTGATCTTTCGCACTATGCTCTGGCTGTTCCTCTATTCACACACTTCACTTCTCCTTTGAGACGATATCCTGATATTGTGGTGCACCGTACATTGGCTGCTGCTTTAGAAGCTGAAGATGCTTGCTTGAAATGTAGAAGAACACCACATAGCCCAACCGAGGAGGTAGCCTTAACCAGATGCTTCTCTGGTTTGTGCTTCGTGGAAGATGTAGCAAAATCTACCCAAGCCCAAGAAGCATTGTCGGCTGCTGCATCAAAGTATAGAGTTCCGTGCACAGAAACTCTCGCTGATGTGGCAGCACATTGTAATGAGAAGAAGTTGGCCGCTAGGCATGTGAAGGATGCAATAGATAAACTCTACATGTGGGTGTTGCTTAAAAAGAACAAGGTATGCCTTTTTAATATTCCTTACTGTTCGTGGAGTTTAATTTGGTAGTTTCTTTATATTCTAATTATAATGCTTGTGAAGTAACGATGTCACTTACGGTTAAACTTTGTTGGGCTTTTGTAATTTGATATTTCAATTAATATTGTTGTCATCTTTCTGCTTACACATCTGAATCTCCACTACTTTACCTTTTTATATAGTTTTATCGTCGCATCCCTATAAGACTTGTGCTGTCTGATAATGTGTTGGAGAAATTTTTCTTTTTCGTTACAAATCTTGTGGCAATTCAACACCTCTCAATAGTTGACCATGATCTGTAGCTCTTACACTGTTGTACTGACCTTTAAATGTCTTTTCTAGATAATGAAATACAAAGGGGTGCATAATTTAGCTGTTTCTTGCTCTTTTCGCAGATACTGTGTTCAGAGGCCCGAGTTTTGGGTCTTGGACCTCGGTTCATGTCTGTATACATTCCCAAGCTAGCTGTAAGCATCTTATGGTTTTGTGCACGATTGATTTATTTACCATCTGCTTGATGTGAAAGTATATAATGCTCACTCTACTTTGTAGATTGAGCGACGGATATACTATGATGAAGTGGAAGGCTTGATAGTGCAGTGGCTCGAAGCAACATCAACGTTGGTGTTGTCCCAATCTTCACATAAGCGGCTGGGCCGGAGAAGTAGCCCGGGTAAATGTAAGACACTTGAGGAAGCTGTCCTGATTGTTAATCCAGCAGATCCTAATCTGGAATCAAAATCATCCCAAGATTTTGAGGGAGGTGAAGGCGAGCCCAAAACATGTGGGGATGAACCTGCTTTTTTCCCTCTCACTATTCATCTTCTTTCAACAATTCCTGTGGCGCTTCATGCTGTTGGTGGGGATGACGGGCCACTCGACATTGTCGCTAGGTTGTATGTCAGTTCGTACTTCCACCAACTGTAAGGTTGATGAACTTATCTACAACAGTGAGATGTTTAACAGTCGAAGGAGTTGAAGAAATGGTCTCTTAAATGCATGGTTGTTTTGTCGGTAAGGATAATGTACAGGTAGGCGGGGACAACAGACACAGTCCACAAGGAATTAACATAAGTCGTATAGCCATGTCTAATTGCTGTTTCTTTTTGGGAGGGAGGGTGGGTCTGTTTTTGTTGGCCACCTTCATCCCATCCTGGTTTGATGACTTATCTTACTTAATTAGCCTTTATTGTCCCTACTGAATCGATCTTTTTATCGGGTGGAGAATAAGGCATTCTATTTACTTCTTTTGTGGCTATGACATCTTTTTACATAGACTATGTGTGTATGGTGTGTGTGTCTGTTTTTGGGGGCAGTGGCAGTGGAGAACAAGTAATTTCTGTGCTCTTCAATAAACTCTCTGTGAAACTGCTACTCAATGGATTGGCACTGTTCAATGTTGTGATGAATTTGATTGACAACTTAGTTTTTGTAAGATTTCTTGTCTTTAATAGCAGCAGCAGTTACAAACATTGCATTATCATCATTCTCATACCAATGGCAGATTTGGCAACGGACAAATAAGAAACAGTCAGCTCAGTGTCTATACCAAACAGCATTGTTGGATTCTTTTTGTTACAACTTTACATGTCTCAATAGATGCTTACATCAAAAACCTTTCTGCACACGTACTTGCTAACCCGAGTCGATATTATCAACCAAGGAATGATCCCAACCTGCAATCGAATGAGCTGAGCCAAATTAAATACTGAAGAATATGCATTACATTAACACAATAAGTCTCAATAATTCCCCCCAACATATTGCTTGGCTCCAACAATGTTCATGTGATAAAAAAACAATCCATACGTTCACATTACACATCTACTCTTTGGTGTTAAATTAATCATTGGCGAAAAAGAGCATGTTTTAACTTCATTTTCCAAAGGCAAACAAGCACAGCTGTGGCTATGACCTCGCTAAACAAGAAGGGTGCAGTTATCATATATAGGGGTGGCAAACTAATTGAGTTTCAACTGTCTCACCATAACATTGCCGTCCACAGATCCCCCTGACCTCCAAGATAATAGCTTGCCTGCAACAGAAGTGGACTACTAAGTGAAAAAAACTCTTTTCATTTTCATTATTGAACGATGTTTGGACTTTCACTGCGAGCGTGTGAATCAAGGATATTCAAGAAACTAAGCTTGAGTAGTGAACATGTCAAGCAATCCGAAAATTGCAAAATAGAAAAAAAGAAATACCTAAGGGTTGCACAAGTTGTTTGGATATCATAGCAACTGGAGACCGCCAAAACAGCATGATAATTGAAACATATGTAAGAACCTTCAAAAGAAACAAATGCAAAAAATTCAATGAATCTAAAGATATCAAGTAAAGCAACTCTCAATCATCCAAGGCCTTTATGAGTGACCTTTAGTATCAGCAAGGGCCTTCCATACTTATTGTACGAAGCTTTTATATACTTCTCATTCATTTCTTGAACTGCAATCATAGGAAGAGTGCTCTGAGAATTGCAAGCAATCAATGAACGACAAACATTATTTACCATAAAATGATATCAGTGACTGGATAGAGGATGGAATTTGAGACTTATGGTTTATAACAAATCATCACTGGATATAATTTAATGAAGTAGCCTTAGCCTTATATCTCTAAGTGTGCTAATACCGACAAGCTGAAAAGGCAACTATACACCGATATGTCAAATCTCCTTGTAGATTCCACCACACTGGCAACCATGTAAGATCTTATTGTACCTAAACACCACATATATTCCAAAACAAATACTTGTAGTGTGAAGGAAGCTTTTGAATTATATAACCATGTGACAGTTAACGGTGGCAATCAGTCAACAACACACAATTTTTAAATGACAGGAAGCAAGATTAAAGTAAAAATAAGCATTTCCTACATTTGGCAAGTTCTTTCTCCTTTGATGCAGCCATCCTTCTTAACTTTGCAGCCTGTGCAAATGTCGATGGCCTGAAATTAGCAATTTTAGCAAGAAACATCAATAAAATAGAGACATTATTTGACTCGGAGAAAACAATATGTTATATTTAACATAGATGCATAATGCCTAATGGTATTAATATAAGTCCAAATTATAGAGAGCTGTATATCTTTTCATAAACAATCTTTCATTATCCTAAGAACACAAAATTGGATCAAATAATTGTCAATCCAGGATTAGAGCAAATTCCGCAAAATTGCACTCTTACTGTGTCAAGGAACCGGCCTCTTTCAGCAGCTGATTAATCTCTTCTCGCAATCGAGCTTCCACACCACCCGATAATTTCTACGAAATACCCAAAAATTTAGAAAAATAGGAACACCAACGCACTACCCAATGCTTCAATTAATTCAATTGGATCCAATTAGAGAGAGAGTAAACAATAACGAAGAGGAAAGAACCTTCTTTGTGTAGGATTCGACGTATAAGGCGGCATATTGGAAAGAGAATACCAAGACGAAAATGGCTGGAGCTGCCATGGATTTTTCTTCTTCCATCGTTCCCCTTCTGTTAACCTCTGCGTTCTATGTGATGCAGTTATTATTCATCAGACCAGGAGGTATATTGTAGAGCTACGGTATGGAACCGCCGGTTTACAGGTTTCCGAACCGGCGGTTACGGTTCGAACCAAAATCGGACACAAACAGAACCAAAATCGTCGTATCGGTTTTGGTTTGTGATTTTGTCGAATCGTAAATTGCCGGTTCGACCATTAATTTTAATATTTTTTTTTATTGAATCTTACCGCATTAGAGCGAAGTGAAGGAGGAGGAGAAAAAGGAGGAGAAAGAAAAAACAAGAGAGAAAAAAGGAAAGAAACTGAGAAAAAGAAGAACGCATGCCGTGGCTGGACTCTGGATCTGGCCCCGTAAATTATTGATTACGGCAAAATGTATTTTATAATAGTAATAATATATTTTATAGTTAAATTTTTTATATATTATCGAAATTTTAAAAATAAAATAATATTTACCTTAATAAAAATAAATAATTATTGATGATATAAAAAAAAATTAATAAAATAATATTATTTTTATATTTATATTTTAAATTTTATAATTTCTTATTATATAATTATATTTAATTTAAATTATTTTATTATTTAATACATTAATATTTTATAATTTATTTTTATTTAAAATTTAATTTAATTATTTACTAAATTTGTTATTTTTATATTAGAGCAATCTAATTAATTATAATTTATATAATTCTTACATAATAAATAAATATCTAAATAAAAATAAAAATAATTATTGTTAAATAAAATTTAAAATTAGTAAATTAGAAAATAAAAAATATATATATAAATCAATTTTTCAAATCGCGGTTTTTCAAAATCGAAACCGATGGTTTATAAAACCGAAATTGTCAAACCTTAACTCAAGCCCTCGTTCAAAAAGCCCAATTTCGATTTGATATTTCAAAATGATAATTTGTAATAATAACCAACTGTCTGAGCATACACAAGTAATTAATGAAACTATGGGTATAACCAGCTATTTAGACGTCTTGGCAAATCTATACACAAGTAATTAATGGAACTATGGGTTGTGTTGTGTTCTAAATTATTCAAAGGTGTATTTTTTTTTGATAAATTTGAGAAAATTTTGATTTGAATTTAGTATTAAAATAATATGTGACAAAATATTTTGTGAAATGAAAAAATTTATTTATTTTTTCGAAAAATACAGAATCTAAATAGTAGAAAAAATGAAGCTCGTGTAACTAAAGCAATACATCCTAAATTTAACAGCTACATTGCTTGCTCCATAATTTTAGGATAATAATAATAATAATAACTGTATCCCAAATTCTATCCTATCATATTACATATATATATATATATATATAACTATAGCACAAAGACAAAGAGTGTGGTCCCATACTTCGCAATCTCTTTTTTTTTTTTAATTTTTTAAAACAATTTAATAGAATATTTTCAAAACATATATATATATATAGATATAATTTTCAGTTACTCAATTACAGTTTTTTTTTTTTTTTTTAAATAATGGAATAGTGGGGTAGTTTATTAATTTAGGTTTTAAATTAAGTTTGTGTATCATACTTTGCAAAATACGGTAATACGAATGCACATATGTATTCTTTAGAAAATTTAGCAAAATCATAATATCCGCGATTAGTCTCCGGTGTTGGATTTCGAAAAGGTGTGTTGAAAGTCCAACAAAAACTCGGCAATGATTTAGTGACTCGATCTTTTACCCGTATTACATTTATTTTCAAATGCATTCTTTCCGAGATAATCGCTTTTATTTTTAGATTTGGTTAATCAATTTTGGATAAATTTTATTTTTAATATTTTTTTGTTTACTTGTTTTGTAAATAAATTACTATATAAAGAATTAAAAGAAGGTAAACACATAATATCCATTAATATTTTTAATATATTTGACATATATTTTTTATTTTATTTGTTTTGCAGATAAATTACGATCTATTAAAAAAAGAAGGTAACACATAATATTCATTTTTTTTTTTTATATACTTTACCTATATTTTTTATTCTATTTATTTTGCAAATAAATCACATCTATAGAAGGAGAGGGTAAACCAATAATATTCATACAATAAAGTATACATATAATATTCATATAAAAATATACTTAAAAAGTTATAACTATTAAATAATATAATTATATTTTGTATTTTTTTATATAATTTTTATTTTTGTTATGTATAAATATATAAAGATATTGGATAATATAATATTGTTTTATATATTTTTAAAATCTTTAATTTATTTTTTATTTTTGGTATATTTTGATTTTTACTAATTTAAAAAATTATAATTAGAATTAAAATTAAAATTAAAATTATTTATTTTATTTTTAGTATTAATTATGACTAATCATTTTAATTTTTTAAAATTGATAAACAACAATTTATATAAAAATACAAATATTTAAACACATTACATAATATTAATTATTTTCTATATATTAATTTTTTTTAAAATTAATTTTTTCTAATTTAATAGTATAAATTATTTTTTATTTTAAATAAGAATATAAACCATATTTATTTGATAAAAATTGTTTTAATTTATTTATTTCTCTTATTTCTTTAATTATACCTTATATATTTTTATCATGCAAATATTTTATTTTATTTTATATTAATTAATTATATATTATTTCAAATTAAATATATATATATTTATTAATTGAATATAAATTTTAGTGATAAATTCAATCGAAATTAAGATTTTGTTTTTATGTTTTTATTTTTTTTCTTTTATTTCAATAATTTGAAATTATTCTATTATATATATTTTGTAAAATATAGTTTGTTATTTGTGAAACATATATATAAAATAGAAATATAACATTCATAATAAATATAATTATTTGATATATTTTTACAATTTTTATAATTTTGAATCAGTATTTATTATTATCTACTAATAATTTTGTATATTTTAAATTGATAATTTACTTATTTAAATATCTGCAATATAAAATTGAAACAAATAATTATTTACTATTTTGATAAATTAAAATTAAATGTAAAAAACAAATTTTATTTTTATTACATATATTTATACATACTTTGTATATATTATAATGTGTTATTTGTTACAATACATAAAAGAAGAATAATATATAAAAAAAAAATGATAAGTAAGTGGATAATAGTTTTATCAATTTATATTTACATTGAAATTAAAAATATAAATTTTTTCATTGTTATTTTTAATAATAAATATAAATAATTATTTTAATTTTTTTAAAATAAAAACTAACATTTAAACATACATGTATAATACAATATGAATTTAAAATAATAATTATTTATACTTAATTTTTATTTTTTAAAATATTTTAATTATGTTGACACGGGTTTAAATACTAGTTCTTTAGCATTTTAAATTGAGATTTGCAAATGTTTGAATCTTACACAATCATATTAACATAAGAATCTCGAATGTCACGTTTGCAAAGCATCTAACTTATTTTAATGAATTGAAGAGTAGATGGAAATCTATGCTGCAAAACGACTCTTTGAAGTTCAAGAAAAAGCCCAAAAGCCTAACTTTTAGGGCAAGTATTTTTTTTTATTTAAATTTTTTTAAGGATCGAATTTATCATAAGAGATTTTTTGCAGCATAACCTAAAAAAAACTGAGAAAAGACCGGTTGACTGGTTGCGTTTGTTTGGGAATTTGAATTTTTTTTTTTTAGAATTTGAATAATAAAATAAAAAAGGTAGAATTTGAATAAATATATTATGTAATATAAATGCTGAATTTAAATGTCCGATCCTTAAAGCAGAAGCGTAATTGTAGATGAAGTCATATACAAATCTTGGGTGATTAAAGGTTTGGTCTTCCAAGATCAGAGTGCCGGATTCCTTTCTGTCATTGACGGGTGAGGAGCAGAAACTGCAGGGAGAATCAAATCTCTTTTACGGCGCGCTGATCCTGGGGATCTACCCCTAGCCTATTTGTAATAGGGCAAACATAATCATAATTACAATTATGCCCTTAATTAATATTATTAATTTGTCACGTCACCAAAATAATAATATTATACGGGTAGCTGCACTTTCATTCAATAACAATCAAACCTATCAGTAAATAATTAATTATATTAATTAGATCACTTACATAATATGACTAGATAAAGTAATGACTTTAACAACATATTCGATACACATATTTGATCCTTAATCCAACAATCTCCCACTGGATCTAGTATGTGTCTGAATGAACATATTGTTCCTTATGAGCTCAATTTTCAGTCATTATAAAACAAGGCTTGCAACAATCTGGTCCATCAATCACAGCAATATAAGACTAAAGAAGCATTCGCCGTACCAACAACTAAACTCACAGTAATCATGGATATCAGTGTAATCAAACGACATAGATCAATCATGGAACGTGCAGAGAAAAAATTACATAAGTGTGATCTAAATATGTCAATTTTCTACTGGTCCAAACTGAATGAGATCGTAAATTACTTAATCATAATGTCCAAAACATCATAACCGAAATAATGATCAAAAGAGTATAAAACAAATATCAAGTGAACGACAAAAGAATAAAACAAATATCAAGTGAACGAAAAAGAATATAAATGCATACTCCCACTACAGTGAAACTTCCTCAAATTGTAACACACCCATATGAGCAATATGCTTATGGAAGACCTTAGGTGTTACACCTTTAGTTAGGGGGTCTGCTAACATGGATTTTGTCCCTAAGTGCTCGATCGAAATCTGATGATCTTTCACTCTTTCCTTCATAACTAGGAACTTAATGTCAATATGCTTTGACCTGGACAAGCTCCTATTGTTATTGGAGTATTCAACGGCTGAATTGTTGTCACAGAAAATCTTGATGGATTTTTCAACCATCGGAATGATTCGCAGCCTAGCGACAAAGTTCTTTAGCCAAATCGCTTGCTGTGATGCCTCAAAACACGCCACGAACTCAGCTTCCATCGTGGAATTGGTAACGAGTGTCTGTTTGGCACTGCGCCAAGCGGTGGCCCCACCAGCCAACATATGAATATAGCTAGATGTAAATTTTCTACTATCTTGGCATCCTGCAAAGTCGGAGTCAGAGTATCCAACGATCTCCAATTGGTCTGACCTCCTATATGCGAGCAGTGGTTACTAGTTCTCTTCA